AAAGGATAATAGCGCGTTCGTTCCCCACCATAGACACCTGCGGTCCAGAGTTTTGCAAATATCTCAGCAACGTTGTGCTTTCATCTTTCTCTGCAACTAGGTTATCCATCATCAGTTGGCTACCTAGTTCTTCGAAGAGGTCAGATTTATTTCTAACATGATTTGTTTCTGGTAAGTGTAAACCAATGAAATTTTTAGTTACTGTGTTACAACAAACATAAGAGGAAAGAATTACAAAAACTTCAGAAAATATGGGTTTATGCAGTGCACATGAATAAAAAACAGGGGTGAAAAACAAGGAATAGGGAAAGCAAACATTAAGGATTTGCTGTCAGAGCCATCTTGGCGAAAAACTTGTACGAATTGATTTTTTGTCGGGAAAGGATTCAGCTGAAGCATTTGCTTGTTCCCAAGGCTAAAGTTTCTATTTATTTCGGTATTGTTCAACAGTTCATTGCATTCTCGATGAGTAAACACGAAGTTGTCACTTTATCCTTTATAGACCCAAGAAGTAAACGTTTCGGCAGGTTCCGGCTTGCTCAGAGCCTGGAAAGGTCAAGTTAACTGAAATCTAGTTAACCAAATACCTCCATAACTCCAACAGGAAAACGAGGAAACCTAAATTTCAGCCGCATCCATATGAACTCTGTGAAGTTGGCCTCCATGTGGAATACTCAGTGGAGAAGTTATAGAAAACGATGATTGTGCCAAGAAGCTACATTTTTCCAGCGGAATTGAGATATAGGTATTGCGGTTTCTTTGTCTTCGTTATGGAGGTATTTGGCTGTGTATATTTCACTTAACTCGACCTTTCCAGGCTGTAAAGGAGACGAAAGGGCAGTTTTTGTAAATAGGATATAGTAACAACTTCGGGTGTTCTTATTAGGAAAACACCAAGCTTGCTGACTAAAACCTTGGAAACCTTTTTTCAATAAAAAGCGCCTTGAATTGATTTCTGGCCCTTTCTGAAAAGTTCTCGGACTTGTCTAGGAGGATAGCAGCATTGGCCCGATACATCAGTAGCCCACTGCGAGTCATTGTAAAGGCCAGATATGCATTCAGTCATCCCAACTATGCTTAGCGAAATCGAATGCGTGGCGCATCTCGGTTAGACCAACGTCAAAGGTTTTGTAGCTCTTGTCGGCTTCGTCATTGGCTTATGGTTGATATGCATGCGTGTGTAAAAATTTAACTACACACGTTTGATTTTCATGAAACGACAGGAATTATTGTTTCACGTAGCAGGTCAATGGAGGGCTAAGTAGTCAAAATTCTGTGCTATTTATTTCAATTTATTTTATACGACCCGATTTCAGATCTACTGCGTGGATCCCGGCACTTCTCACATTCGACTCGTTTCCTCGCGTGCACATCCACTGAGGTCTTCCAAGTTTTCACGTGTGGCTTCGGTTGCCACTTGAGGATTTTCACTTCATCTTAAATGTCGCAGAATGCTGGTGGAGTCGATTCTCACAAGAGTCCTGAGATAGACGAGCTAGAGCATTCCCATTTGGATTGTAGAGAGCAATTTTTTCCTAGACCAGTTCTGTACCAATTTCCTTACCCGGAAGGATACAGGCTTGGTGAGGAGGGAACGGGATCTAACCAGTAGAGCGCTCGTGATGACCGCCCCCGTCTACATTAAAACAGCCGATTTAAATATTATATCCTCCCCATAATCGAAAAAATTAACCTCTTACATCCACACCCTATCGGTGAGCAGTTTACTTCCAGTAGTCCAGATAGAATGGCTCGAGCCCGCTATCTCAGGACGTCATAGAGAATCGACGCAGCCAGTATTCAACGGCATTCTTGAAGAAGGCGAAGAAATCCTCGAGCAGCAGACAAACCCACGCGCAGAAAATGTTCGAAGACCTGCGTGGATGGCGTATGTGAGGAAACGAACCTGAAGTGCTGCGGTTTGCATATCGTGATCCACATGGTGTCTACCGGATCATGGAACAAAAGGAATAATATGAAGAAAAGTATTTACCAAAGCACTGTATGTTGGTAAAGTGATGAAGTTAGAACAAGTAGAAAAAAATAGGGTAATTACCGTATGAAACCTCAAAATCGGGGTTGTTGACAGGAACTCGGTGAATGACGAGAAATTCAAGAACACTGGGTTTTGGATCGAGTAAACTGCACCGAGATGAGATCTTAATTCAATTTTTAAACTTTTATTCTATAAATAACATCTGTATACTCGTTATTCTTTTGACATTACTTTTCTTTTTTTTGCATGCAGCTTGTTACGTGGAACTCGTCTCTGAGGCACCCATCGATTAATGCATTTCGTGACGCGCCGGCCGGCCCGCGGCCAGGCCTGAGGCTAGCCATCCAGCTTCCGGCGCCCTCGGCCTTGTTCACAGCCAGCCTCCCATCGACGTCTCATGGTCCAACTTCTGAGCTTCCTGTTCTAAGACAGACGTACTGGTCACTAAGCTCTCCAGTGGTATTCGCTTATGCTTTTGTTGCTGCTTCTCTGCAGCTTGTCAATTCTTGTTGGTCTATCAGGTGAGTCAGGTGAGTGCGACACAACAAGAATTTTTTCCACGTTTCCTGTAATCTTTCTCTGCTGATGACTTTAGTCTGTGCCAAACTATATCAGTAGATAAATCCTCTTTATTGAGCTTAACTTTTTCAGAAAAGTGCTACAGTTGCTCGTCGGCACATCTACATAGCCGATGGGTGAGTGTCTCGCTATCAAGTAGGCCCTTAACTTTATCCTGAAGATTTCGCAGACCTTTTCCGTGCCTTTTTAGCCAAAAAACGAAGAAACCAATCGGTTACAGTTTTTACGAGAATTCCCATGGTACTCTAATGAAAGTTGTGATCAGGTTTGTAAAAATTTTCTTTTATCATTCAATGTTTAAATTAAATAACTTGCTTTCTTCTCTTTGGGATGGTAGCTGCTATAAGACGTAAAGAACGGTCTAAAGGTTTTCTTTTTGGGGGCTCGTTTGCTCGAAAAATCAACCAAAACATTATCCGTCATTGTATGCTTTAAACGATTACATAAATCTTCGTCCGACGGAAATAAACTGATGGTAGCCGATATTGACGAGAAAATCCGGAGAAAGGTGTTGGATTAATCCTGACAGTTCTTTGAAAAATTTTTAATCTTGAGTATCGTGGAATGCTGGTTGAGCAGTCCTTCTTGGAGTCCTGAGATAGCCCGAGCTGAAACATTGCCATTTGGATTGCAGAGAGTGATTTTTCCCAGACAAGTTTGGTACCAATTTCCCGACACCGGAGAGATGAGAGGCTTGGTTGGCCCGGAGCGGAGTTAAACTACCATGCTTGTAATGACGGACATCACTACCACTGTGCTATCCACCGCCTTCGTGGTTTAAAGGATTACAAAAAATCCACTCTCTAGCAGAAGCTCGTCGATAACTTCACTATTTTGCTGCTTCACTACAATCATTACCAGTTTCGACTTTTGCAAGTTGAAAATTTCGCAGTGCAAAATATAATGTGAGTTCTTTTTGAATAAAAAATTTAAACAGCCACGATAAATTACGATGCTCGAGAAAAAGTTTGTGGGAAAGTGAAATTGTTCTCTAATTTGAAATAATAACGATAGAGCATTCGACGTTAATGAATTCTTTAGGGATGCGCCATGTATTCTACCTCATTCGTAGAATTGTAGAGGTATCCGAAAGCATATTTGCCCCACACAATGACTTACATGGTCGTATAAATACATTAAGCCAGTGCATTTATTATCCCCGACAAGAGTGTGCCAAGTTGTGCCGATCCTAGAAACGATGGGAGTCTTGATGATCCCAGAGAGATCGAACCAAAGACTACGAGTATGGCAGGATACCTCTAACCACTGTGCTATATGCATCCAATTACAAACATTATGTAGTAATATTACATTTGTAATACAATTTTTTTCGGAACATTTTTCAGATGAAAAATATGGTGCCTGTTGTGGACTGCCCGAATAGCGTTTGCATAAAAGCGGTGATCACAGAAGCACCAGCGAAAAGGGACGTCTGTGGTAGGATTTTCTTACTGTTCTATAATTCTATTATCCATTCACTCTTTGTTTATTTCTCTTTTATTCCTTCTTTATTCCATGCAATTTTGCCTTCCTTGCTCTCTATCTCTTTTTTTCTGAAATTATCGACACCGAATGGGATTTGGCTTTTGTAGGACAAAGAACAGGAGTCTAAAACTCCCTATTAAGTAATTACTTTTTGTCTGTTTACATTTCCGTACGAGAACTACTGTTTATTAAATCACTGGTAGGTGACTTAACGTATAATGAGTAAGAGAGTTTGTACGAAATAATTTATTTCAGTACAAAGCGGTGCGATAGTTCGAGATTGTTGGAGCAGAGTGATCGGAGGAGGACAAAGTCATCTCACTTTGGATTCTCAAGCTGGAAAGAATATGGTAAAACTTCAGAAAAAAAGTAAAGGATAAACAAATAAGTAATAAAACAAAGACTAAATGAGACCTGCACTATTTTACCTTAAGCATTAACTCATTTCTTATCTTGCTTGATGTTCTAGATAGGAAAGAATAGGTAAGAAACGGCACTGGGTTTGAAAGGATTTATTGTACAATCGGCGAGAAATCCTTTCAGAGCCCGTCCTAGTATGACGCCGTACTATTTGATAACAATACTTAACTTTTGTTCACCGCCTACTACTTTTTCAAGTCAGAGATTTATGTGATATACAACCACAATGATACTGAGACATTTGCAAAAATTGGACACCGTGCCAGATTCGTACCCTTGATGACCATTTGCGTGGATCTGGTTAAGAGAAAGGCAGGTCAAGGGCCTCAGTGGTGCAGTGGGCAACACTTAAATTTCCAGAAAAGATAATCGTAGGTTCGAATCTGGTCTAGGGTCCATGTTTTAAACATATTTCGGCATCAATGTGGTTGTATTTGAGAATAAGCGGTGACCATTGAGGTTACTTGTGCAGCCATTGGCAACCATCTGGACGTAGCTTTCTACGTGTTTGAGCTGATGTTCAAGACACCCAGGCAGTATTGTTTATCCAAATGTTCACTTGACATGGATTCCTTTTCTGTTTAATCACTTTAACTAAACGTGTCGTAGTATTGCCTTTGAATCAGCGGATTTTCGTATCTGCATGAAGACTTTTTGAAGGACTTTTGAAGGGCTTTTTGAAAGGGATTCCCTGTTAAGCTACTTTCGACTCATTTTCTTACAAGAGCCGGTAACTTCCACGGTTAGAATTGATACTTCATGAACTGAAAGCACATTGTGAGCGAGAAAATTTTTCAGTTTTTCTGTTGATAAGATTAGGAAAGCATGTTTTCTACTACGTTGATAGTTTACTAGCTCATCGTTGGTGAATGGTTTTCCCGTGCATCGTATAGCAGCGCTCTACGACGGAGGATCGTCGCTCGCAGGATTTCTTAAGCTGATGAGGAGTTTAACCTTTGTATTTTTTATTTCGGCTAAGAAGACCTAAGTCACGGCAGAGTCAGATAAACTTCATGTAGTTACATTGGCATCAAAAACAACGAGAAAAGGTCATCAATGACAAATGGAGCCCACTGGCGCCAGTTCGAATTAACTCATTAATTAGAGAGACCACACGTGATAGATGACGGATAGCGCTATGAAGTTTGTTGATCGAGTATAGCTTGACGGCTGCTATGTACAGTGCTCAGTTTTAGGTCTTGGACAAATTCATTCAGAAGAAGCTTTTCAAGCACAACAGAGCTTTCCTCGATAATGTTTTTGTTTATGCTAGGAATTTAGCCCGCAAAACAATTGTCTTATCTTGTCTGGGAAGCCCTACACCATGTAGCGCATTCTCTTTCCGCTTATCGTTAATTCCACGCATGAAGTATCACATGCAGAAAACTGTCGAGTCAACTTGCTGATATGTATTCTTTCGTTCATAAGTTAATACGAAGTCGATAAAGATGTCATTAGGCTAGCGTTTCGATGTCCTCACCTTTCTTAGAGCTGACGCTTCGAATCGATGGTCTGCAATAGTTGGTACTGCCGATGTGGTGTCTTCGCGGTCGTACCGAGTCGGTTCTTCTTCAGTGGAGCACGTCTGAAATAAGGCAATATCACCCGGCGATGCTCTTTTATCTTCTCCGGAAAATCCATCCTCCAGCAGTCAGTAATCATTATCAGCTAGCATATAGCCTAACAATATTTCAAAAACCTTCAAAACCTACTAGCAATAAGCGTCTTGTATAAAATAGCATCGCCAAATGGGGTTGTCTGATTCGTGCGATGCTCCACCGAAGAGGATCTGACTCGAAACGACGACGAAGGCATCACATCGAGAGTATCGATGACCGTGGACCATCGACTCAGATCGTCGGCTTTGAAGAACACGATGGCGCTGAAACGTTAGCCGGCTAAAGTTCTTTTTATCAACCTCGTGTTAGCCCTTCAATGAGAGAGTTCATACTGATTAGTCATACCGAGGTTAAAGCAAAGTCAGTTATTATAATATTTATGCTCACAGTCTGTTCGCTTTACAATCGCCATAGTGATGAAGAAAAGTTCCCATGAGCTGAGAAACGTAACAAACGATCACTTATTTGTATAGTTGGACGGCCTGTAATGATTTGTTTTGAGCCATAGCCGTTCTTTCACTCATTCATCTACTTCACAAGCTAGCGGATACTTCGTGTCTCTTAATCTTCCACTTGAATCATCCTTACATTTATCATTCCAACCTTCCATATCCTACTTTTTAAAGTAATTCATGAAGCTAAGGTGCTTTATAAACTTAGCAGCGCAATTTTTGAAAAATACCATTACGTTTTTAGCAGTTCTCCATTGCACTATATTTTGGTCAAGATGTTAATTTCTTACCCAGAGAAAAATTAACACTTTGTCCTTCAGGCGTCTTTCGGCGCCTTTGCCTTCTTCACACCAGAGTGATCGTAGTCGATTGTCCACAGTCGCGTTCCTTCTTCTGATATGAGTCTTCGTCATCGCATTGAGTCGAATACAGTGTAGCACCGCCCGAGTGAAAGAACCTCAGTCGGTGGCGCTCTTTTATAACGGAGGTTGTTGGAACTGATTGTCCGTTGATAAGTTTGTTTTTTCCGGATAAACTATCCTGCTGCAGTCGTTATCATGATTAGCTAGCAAAGAGCGTAACAATACTTTTAAAAAAAGCGACATGCCTTTAATCTCGGCTCGTCTAATCAATATGTATCTTCTGACTGATAAATGACGCGGACTGCTGCAGAATGGATAGTTCTGACAGAAACAAGCGATTTTCAACGAACAGTCAGTACAAACCAACCTTCTGTATAAAAGAGCGGTGCCGAGTGAGTAAACTTCATTCGAGCGGTTTTCCACTGGATTCGACTCGATGTGATCACGGATACCCACATCAGAAGAAAGAACAATAGTGGACATTCGACTGGAATCAATCCGGCTCGGATGAAGACGAAGCCGCCGAAGGGTTACCCGAGTGAAAAACATTATAAAACTCGTGTTAGGCCGTCAATGAAAAGAAAAGAACCTATGCAGATTTTACTAAAACTGGAGAGAATTCTTGTTTTTTCTATGAAAGTCCACCAAATTGTTCAATTCAAATTCTTTAGTGAATTTCTCTAGAAAATTATACCCATAACAAAGTTGGAATCGGACGTGCTTTGAGCGTTAAACAATTTCGGAAAAACAGAAAAGAATTTAAGCAATTAAACTTTGTAATAAAAAAGATAACGCCCAGAAAAAAGACGCGTGTGGCGCGGTGGTCGGAGGCGTCCTGCAACACACGTGGAATCGGTCCCTCCGCCCATGGCCAACCAAGCCTTCCTTTCCTCCGGGGTCAGCAAATTGGTACCAGACTTGTCTGGGAGGATAGCAGCACTGACTCGATACATCGGTAGGCCACTGCGAGTCGTAAACACCAGATATGCATTCAATCACCTCCAAACGATGCTTAATGAAGTTGAATACATGGCGCATCCCTCAGAGATTGATTAAGGCCGAGAGCTTTATCCTTTTTATCCTTTAATTGGTGCAGAAAGTAACTCTGAAAAAGCTCGAAAAGTAGCAAGAGGAAAAGCCTAAATTACTGTTATTTATCAGGTCAAAATGAGCGTTGACATGGAAGCGAAACAAGTACTGGGAGTGATCTACACTTGTTATGGATACCTCTGTAATTCTTGCACGCAAGTCGGTTATTTCACAGTCATCTCATTCACTATGTTCTTTCCTGTTATCTTCCTTTTTTTCTAGAGCTTTCCATTTTTAACTAAATGTCATCTTCTTTGTTTCTCCGGAAGTTCCCTTTGCTTTCGTTTCTTTCTAAAGTTTTTCTTTGCATGAGTATCTCAGCTATGTTTGACATTCTGGTGGGTACTGTAACGGGTATAACGAAAAGCTATACAACATTTCATGTATGATGTGCTGTTTCCGGAATGAAACGCAATAAAATTTTGTTCTGGCAACCTTATATTACTGCAAGCTTGCTTGAACCTTGTTATCTATTTGTTTATTGCATTACCCGACATCACATCTATCCCACAGTTCGGATCCCACTACTTGTATTCGATTCGTTTCTTCGCATTTGCCATCCATGAAGGTCTTGGAAGCGTTTCGAATATGAGTCGATCGCTACATGGGATATTTTTGTTGTCACGAATGTCCTTGAATTATGGTTGAACCGATGCTACCTGGAATCCTATGATAGCCATGCTGGAGCGTTCTCACTTGTATTAGAGAGAATGAGCTCATTCCAAACAAGTTTGATACCATTCTTCCTGCTGCGGTGGGATGCGATACGTGGTGAATACGCAGTTGGTCGAACTAGGGCCTGGGTAGGCCGGGCCATCAGTGTAACGAATGGGATCACCAATACTATTTCACCCGTTTCCTGAATTTTTTAAAATTAGGGGTGAAGTTGAGACAAGGATATCACGGAAATCAAAGAATTCCTAGACAAACCATATTTATATGGGCAGAAAAATAAGAAGCCGTGGGTGGTCAGGAATGCGCGCTGCGGCTTGCTGCTGTTTTAGTTACCATTTGGCGAAATGCTTTTTTTAAATTGCTGATTTGATTATTGATGAGTTGATGTGTAAGGTACTATTCGTGTAGCGCAAATAATTACAATTTTAGCTTATTATTTACTGTCTACTCTTTTTAATGGCAGGGTATATTGCGAAATACAACTTCAATGATGCTGAGACATTTGCAAAACTCTGCGTCGCAGGTGTCTGCGGTGGGAAACGAACGCGCTATTGTCCTTTCCGGAGAGTAACGCGCTCACCACTACACCATGCGGATCCTTCGTTTTGCCTGTCTCTCAGCTAATTCTATCGATCTCTGCCATCAGCAATCACCCGTCAACGGGATTGATCTGGGGAGCCCAAATCGGAAAGAAAAAAGAGGAGAAAATAGAAAAAAGGAGAAGGCAGTAAATGAAATGGTTAAGATTGTAATTATGACTATAGCCTCGGCTTAACTGGGCTTATTGCCGATTTGGGCTCCCCAGATCAATTCCGCTGACGGGTGATTGCTGATGGTAAAAGGTCGATAGAACTAGCTGAGAGACAGGCAAAACGAAGGATCCGCATGGTGTAGTGGTGAGCGCGTTACTCCCCGGAAAAGGCAATAGCGCGTTCGTTCCCCACAGCAGACACCTGCGGTTCGGAGTTTTGAAGATATCTCAAAATCATTGAAGTTATATTTCACAACATACTCTACCATTAAAAAGAGTAGGCAGTAAATAACAACTCAGGAAAAGATATAGTACTAAACGACTCCCTAGAGCGAGTAGAACCCACTGAGCTACTTTTACACGCGGCAGGGAAGGGTGGAAGACTTACTGGCGCTCACTTGAGTCACTAGACGATCAACAGGCCTACAGGTGATGCAGGTAATCCAGCGTGCTTTTATAAGTTTTTTCTGAGCCCTTCAAACAGATATTTCTTCTATTTTGCATGAAATTGAAGAAATTACTCATCAAATGTCGTTCTGTTAGTTGTTTCTTATTAGCTTGCTTTGCTAATTTCGCCGTTTACCGTGTGAGATACACGGTACTGAAAAGGCAACTTATTTAGAAGAACCTGTACTTTTGTAAAAGGAAGG